GTCCACTTGGGGGTGCTACTAGTACTGATGATGATGCTGCTTGTTAGTTTTGTTGTTTATGCCCCCCTACCTTGATATTGGGTATATTCCTCTTACTACACCATCACCACCATCACCACGACCAACAGCATCATCATCCACTACTTCTGCTGGTCTTATCATGTTATTATTATCACGTGTATGTTGTACTAATAGAAGAGTGTATACACTAACTTTATGCCTAATATTTGCGTGTTTATCTGGTTTTGCATATGGGTATGATTTATCAGTAATAGCATCAGTATTGCCTGATATTACTATCCATTTTACACTTACTCCATCAAATAAGAGTCTAGTAGTTACATTATTCTCTATTGGTATGTTAATAGGTAGATCCACTGGTGGACCTATACAAGATCAATTCGGTCGTAGAATAGGTCTTGCTATAGCTGATGTATTTATAATAATATCACTATTATTAACTTGGATTCTATCATCATCATACTTTACCCTATTATTAATATGTAGACTATTACTAGGTATAGGTATTAGTTTAGCATTATTAATAGGATGCACATATCTATCAGAGATATCCCCTCCTAAATGGAGAGGTAGGATGATAACATCACATGAACTATCTGTATGTATTGGTTCATTGGTTGGATTTAGTACTACTGCTTTTACTGCTAATATTAACAACAACGATGTAATAACAACACTACTAACGCTCCTCCTCCTCCTACTACTACTACTACTACTACTACTACTACTACTACTACTACTACATGATGCTTCTTTAGGATGATAGTACTACTAGTACCAATACGTCGTCATGGTGGCCATTGCTGATAGGAGTTGCTGTATTCCCTGGAATACTACAACTAATACTCATGTAATAATAGCAGCATCATCATATTGCGGCGTCATCGTCGTCGTGGTCGCATTACTTGTCTTAAGATACTTCCTACCAGAATCCCCTAGATGGTTAATATCAACAGCTACTACCAAGACTAGGGAACATAAAATGGAACAGTTTAATAACGTTATTAATAGGTAATACTAGTAGAGAGTATACATATGTGTATGTGTGTTATTATACGTAGATTGGGGTATAATAGTGATGATGATGAGATAGAGGGTATGCTTAAGGATACTACTCTTATTAGTGATAATGCTACTACTACTACTACTGATCATCATGATAATCAAGTAATACATGTGACATGATGATGATGATGATCGTTGTTGTTGTGATGATGATTATGATTATAGGTTATTATTATTAAGCATGATGATAACCCAATATATCGTTTGAGATATGCTATTCATCATCATTTAAGAGGATTAATACTAACTATATTGGTATGTACTACAGCATCAGCATGTGGATTCTATGCATTCCAATCATATGCTGCTGATGTTATATCCTTACTAACTGATAAAAGTCTACATTATGTACAAGTACATTATCTACCCTATGTAGGGTTGATGAAACTACTTGGTACTATAGTGGCATTAATATTAATTGATGGTTGCAGTCATGGTCATAATCATAATAGTAGTAGAGGAGGTGGTGGTGGTGGTAGGAGGAGATTACTATTAGTATCGATATTTGGTATAGCCCTAGCTGAAGGTATTCTAGCTATACTTCTACAATTACCCAATAATATACTACTCCCACCTAGTATACCAATAATCCTATTCTATATGGTTATATTCTGTTGGAGTCTAGGCCTTGGTCCAATACTCCTAATGGCTGCTAATGAGTAATAAACAGTATTACTACTACTAGTACTAGTAGTATCATCATAATAATAGGTACATGCCTACCTATACTAGAGGTGTTGGTAATAGTGTTGCACTTACCTTCACATCTATATTTGAGATACTCTATCAACAGACCTTTGAGTTGATGCTATATGAGAGCCTTACTCCATCTCTACCCTTTTATATATTCTCTATCACATGTGTGGTAGTATTTATTATATTATGGAGATTATTACCCGAGACTAAGGGTCTATCACTAGAGGATGCTAGTAGTAATGCTACTACTACTAGTACTACTATCAACAACCAAACAACGACCAGGGATGACAATAAGAACATAAACAAGGATGAGGGAAGTAAGGGTATCTAGCCCATATGATCACGATAGAGTAATAGTAATAGTAGGTATCGTTGATGATGCTGATGATGATGATATAGAAGAGGTAGATGGCAGTGTAAGGATAACATCTACTAATAGACTAGGTAATACTTATACCTCATTATCGACTTTATCTATACCCACGTACTCCTACTCTCATCATCATCATGATAATAATAGTAGTAGCGAGTATGCTGAATAGTAGTACTCCTAGTAGTAGTATCATCAGTATCATTATCATCATGTTGTGTTCATCTTGATGATGATGAGTTTGTGGTACTCCTTCTTTCCATGCTTAGGCACCTTTGACAATAATAACACCACCACCGCCACGTAAATTGATAATAACGACTACCGCAGCAGCAGCAGTCCAGACTACTACTATTATTACCAGTTTGTCGTCTACGTTAACTATCATATTCTCTGTCAAAGTAGTAGTATTGTGCCCTATCCTACCCCTTCCCCTTCCTCCTCCTCCTCGTAGTAGTAGTAGTAGTAGTAGTAGTAGACTTATTCTTATAACATGTCCAGTACCTCCCCATTCGTAGTAGCTACCGCTCCATACGATCCCCTCGTCCCCTTACATAATAATAGTGAGGAGGATGTAGAGGCGGAGGGAGAGGATAATCTACTAATTGATCCATCTCTAACTGAAGGACATCATGTTGTATATGATAGGGAGATACCATTAGAAATAAGGATATTACAACAACAACCATCATCAAGTAACAAGAGTAGGTATAAGTAGTGATGATAGTATTATAATACTCTAAAGCAGGTGCTCCTCCTCCACCAGTAGATGTGGGTACCTTAGAAGCTATACGATGCAAGATTATGATATTAGGAGAACATGAAGGATCATTTAAACATTGTAGAGTAGAGCTTACTTCAGAGAAGGATATATTCTTCCATTATACACATTCATTAGATGAGATGCAATTCAGTAAGAATACTAACAATAACAACACTAGTAGTGGTAGTAGTACATCTGCTGATTGTTGTTGTGGTTGTGGTTGTTGTAGGGGATATACAAGAGGAACAGAAGCTTATGATAGAATTCAATGAATACGTTAATGTATTTATAAAGATGTGTAACTCTACCATTGCCGGTACTACTACTACTATTATTATCGTTACATTAGTATTATTATTATATTCTTAGAACCTCATGCCTTCCTAGGAGTATTAGTAATGTCTAAGGATGCTACTACTGCTAGGCTAGACTTTGTACAGAATATGGAGTAATACCTCTACTAGTGGATTGATGATGATATTTGTAGGTATAAGTTTATAGAGCTACTCAGTGCTGAGTTCATAGCATCACCAGATGCTATTATAAGGCAACATATTGTATATAGGTAATGATGATTATGATAGGACTGGTAATGATGATGATAGGAATGTTGATAGTAGGTATAATGCTATGAAGGCTAAATTAGCAGCATCTCAGGCTAGGTTACAGGATTTCCATGCTATTGTTAAGCTAAAGAATCCTAGTTTATTATTACAGATACAACAGAAAGGTGGTATATGGATGGTAGTAATAATAATAATAGGATAATTGATGTAGGTATGATTATGCCTAATAATACTACTAGTAGTAGTACTAGTATTACCTCTACACTATCTAGGGATAGGGATAGTTCACCAAATGGTAATAGATCTATAAGGGGCAGTAGTAGCTGCAGGAGGAGGAGTAATAACAATAACAGTACTATGATGATGATGACACGTTAGTAGTAGTATTATTATTAATATTATTATCATTCATGGTCATGATGATTATGATTATGATGGTCATCATTATTATGGTGTATTGACGGTATACTAATAGTATCATGTTATTATTATCAATATACCCCAATATATACCCTATTATATCTTCCTCCTCCTCTTTTATTATTATGTCCATTAATGAGGGCTACTACTACTAGAAGTAGGAGTAAGAGTAAAGGGCTCTTCCTAAGGCGGATCATTACCTTAGCTATACTCTATGTTATCATACTTATAATGTAGACTGAATATGGTATTGATAATGATAAGGTACATGCATGTACAGGTATATTGCATACCATCTATCTGCTACATTATCATTACATAACACTACTATAACACTGCCATTACGGAGGATGCATATAGTCATATTACTATGATGATAAGGTTATTACGATTATGATTATGTATGGTCAGGTTAGCAATAATAGGACCACAACAAGTAGGAGGATGGTTGAGGAGGTTGTGGAGTCCTCTCCTACCTACTACCATCCATCCTCTACATCTAGTATAGGGGTGGGTGGTAATAGTCTTAGTATAGAGTACTTGGTAATACAGATATTACTCAAAGACACCACTAGCACACTATCCTCTAGTACTATGTCGTTGTCCATGGTTAGCAGCAGTAGTGGATGTAATATGAAAGCTCTTCCTCCTCTTCCTACCCTGTATAGTAGGCTTTACCGGAGATTACCATCATTATAGGTACATTTCATGTTCATATTTCATCCTATCTAGGGGAATATGCTGCTAATGATCATACAATATATACCTTAAATAAAGCATTGGATAGGTGTGTAGCTTTACAATGGTATTGTAAAGGGGTTACTTGTACATCAGCATCATCATCGCAGGAACAGCAGCAGCAGCAGCTCGGCAGTTCAGAATGTAGTACTAAGGATAGTAGCAAAGAGGAATGCTGCTGTTGCTGGTGCTGGTGCTGGTGTTGTATTATGATAGGTACGGTACGGGCTGGTACACCATATCTAGCATTATCTACTCAAGATGAGGTTAGTTATGTTAAAGCGAGGTGTATAACAAATAACAACAACACACAGTCCAATGATCTACTACTACTAGTAGTACTTATTATTATTACCATCATCATCTATTATTTATTTATCTTATACCATACCTTAGGATACTCTAGGCATAACTGGTGAGGTTACTACTCATGTAACCAAGGGTACTGGTGATCATGCTATACTAAAGGATAGTGCTATTGTGGTAATATTACTACTACTACTACTAATTGTATTATTGATAATGATGATGATGATATTAGGTAATAAGTCATGATAGAGATGGATACCTTACTTCATGTCTAGACTCTTTATTAGCCCTAGAGGGTATACACCATTTTGCTGTGTATGTACTATTCTTACTACTACTATGATGGTTGTAGTAGTAGTACTGGTGTTAGGTATGTATCCTTAGATGAGGTTACGGCCTTTAGTAGAATGGAAGATGTTATCAGGGTAAAGGAACGGCAGTATCAAAGGGATATAGGTACTAGTACTACTAGGAACAACAAAAACAAGTAGGATGATGAGCAGCATAGTTATTATTAGGTATATGGCGTAAACCATTATTACCTCCTCTTACTGTATATGATACTTTACCATCATCTAGGATAGCATCACACTATAGATATGCTCTCGAACAGGTGTATACAGTACATAAACATGATTATGTTATTATAGTAGAGGATGATCTTATATTCTCTAAGAACTTCCTAACATTATTTATTAATAATGCTTGGTAATAATAATAATAATAGCAATGATGGTATTGTAGTGATGTAGGTTATTAGAAGTAGATGATACACTGTATTGTATAAGTGCATGGAATGATAATGGTTTTATGGAATATGCTACTAATGAGAGTATACTATATCGTACTGACTTCTTCCCTGGTAGTAATAATAATACCCTCCTCCTATACCATAATAATCATTATAGGTCTAGGATGGATGTCAAATAGATCATTATGGGATAGGATAAGGAGTAGATGGCCACATGCACCTACTACTGGTTGGGATCATTGGATGAGGCTTAGTATCACTACTACTATCACTAGTATTACTTAGTATTACTAAGGTACTACACATGATGGTAGAGAATGTATATATCCTGAAGTACCTAGAACACGTCATATAGCACAAGAGGGTTCTAATGTTCATGCTGCTGATCAAGCAGGGATATATGCAAGGATGGCATTAAGTACAGGGCAGCAAGGGGAAGTGGCAGGAGGAAAAGGAAGAGGAGGAGGGATGATGAGGTTAATGGAGTATGATAATATGTTGAGGACTATCATAGCATCAGCAGTAACTATTACTCTAAAGCAACTATTATCAACTACTACTACTACTATCATACATCATCATCATGATAACGAGGTAGAGGAGGATAGTGTGTATGTGGTAGGTATAATAATAATAAGCATGTATATATCTATGTGGTAGATACCCTATATACGTGAGGACTATCCTCTAATACAAGAACACTTTCATCTATTTCCTAACTATTTTAGAGGGCAACATAGAGGGGTAGTTATTATTAGTCTACATACAAGAGGAGTACTAGATAATGATAACAACATGATGATGGGAAGCAGGAGTAGGAGGCAGAGGAAAGGGATTACGAAGTAATATGATGATCATGATGATGAGGATAGTAGTAGTAGTATTGGTATTATTCCTCTTGTTCTATTTCTAACCTATTGTTATAGGTTAGTATTCATCGATCGTCGTAGAGGGCATGAATGGTTACCTAGTAATACATCCCTTACCCCACCACCAAATATGATGTATATACCATCTGCATCTAGAGGTGTATCATGTACTCATACATGTATACATAATAATGCACGATGCTATGATCATCTATTGGAGTTTGCTAATGATTGCCATATTATGTACTACTACCACTACTACCACGTCATTATTATTATTATTATGTTTAGGTTATCCCATTTCCCATGTGAAGAGGGATGTGGTCATCAATTAGGATTAGAGTTACCTGCTTATGTACTACTACACCCTTCTTCCTCCCCTACTTCCCTACTCAATATTAGGTTATGGACAGTACTCTACATACAGTAGGGCAATGTTTAGTCACTGATCATGGCTCTCCTAGTTGTGCTACATACCATATCTCTACTGCTAGAATGTGTACATGTATACCTAACATCAACATCAACAACAATAACAAGACAAATGTAATATTAGTAACATGATGATACTCATGATGATGTTGGAGGACTACTAGGGACATACTTCTCTAACTGTTACTATCTTTCTTTGTTGGTGGTGTTGGGTTATTCGGGACACCTCAATTCCCCTCTTAGTAGTACTACTCCTGTATACACCCCAAATTACTAATGTCATCATCATCATCACCTCGAAGTGAGCATCATCATCATCATCCTCCTCATCCTCCCTCTTCTATCATCCTCTCGGAAGAGGAGGAGGAGGAGGAGAATGTCCAAGAAGAGCAAGCGGATGAGGAGGAAGGGACTCTCGACTACTTCTTAGAGGTAATAGTAGTAATAATAGGACTAGTAATGGTCATGACCAGTACTCCCATCATCTTTAGTCTGATCATGCCTTGATGATACCATTACAAGAGGCTCTATTAGAGCGTATGAATAAGAAACTAGACAAGCTTAGTATTATATTAAGGTAGGTTTATGAATGGTAGTAGTAGTAGGAGGGTTTGGATAATAGGGATAAGGAGGAGGAAGGGAGGAGACTAGCAAGGCATAGGGAGGATATAGGAACACAATTATATGCATATCAACAACAATTAGGATCATTACAGAACAATATAGAATTAGCCAATGAAGATAGGCAATGGATTGATGATAAAGGTAAGAACAACAACAGCCCTACCTTCCCTCTAGTACTAGTAATAGTAGTTGGTGGTATTTAGTGAGAGAGGTGAAGGAACGGGTAGAGGGTTTGACTAAAGAGCATGATATATGTAATAAGGAGGTTAGAGATCAGATGGATATGTTAGAGAGAGTAAGGGAGGAGAGGAATGAGGTAGTAGTAGAAAGGGGGAGGAGGGTAGTAGGTAGTAAACATATAAGGGTAGTAGGTATCACATAGTGTGGAACAATTAAAGCGGTATAAAGAGGGATTAGAAGGGAATATATTACTAAAGAAAAGGGAAGCATATAAGGGGGAGGCTAATATCCAAGCAGTAGAGAAAGATAAGGCCAAACAAGATGTAATAAGGAATGTAGTACTGAGGATGATAATAATAATATTAGTAGTAGTAGATACTAATAGACGAGCTGGGTAGAGTATTGAGGAATAAGGCTGAGCATATAGCATTATTAGAGGCACAGATGGAGGTACAATCTAAAGAGGGGGATAATGCTAATATGATGATAAGGTAATAGTATAGAGAAGAAGGAGGAACAGATGGGCCTACTACTACTACTCCCTTCTATTAGGGAGGCTACTCAAGCATTGGAGGAGATTAATGATGAGAGGAAGATTATTAGACAGGAGGTAGTAATAGGGTGGTGGTAGGGGGGAGGGAGGGAGGGAGGGATATTCAAGCTATCATAGGTTAATAGTAATTATGTTGGTATTACTA